TTTCATAGGTACATTTTTTTTTAAACTACAAATGTAAAAAAAATCTATTAAAATAACAGTTTAAAAATTTAACTTTTTTAAATTATTATTTTGTTTCCAGGAGTCTACTGATTAATATATTGATTGTGAGGTTTTTTTCCCCTATCTTTATAGAATAAATTACTGTTATAAATTTAAAAAATATATATTTTTTAGTTATAAATATATACAAATTTTTCGTCATTCACTCGTCCTGTTAATCAGATATATTTTAAAAATCAATATTTACCATTATAGTAAGTGTTATTTTACATAAAGAATGTATAAATAATAAAATGTAATCTTATTAATTTAAGATATAGATTATACACGTGCATTTCATTAATTCGTATTTATAATATATATATATATATATAAGGATTTGTTTACAGTATTTTCTATGAGGCAAAATTGTGCGTCATGACCTATTCTATTATTTATGAAAGAATATGCAAGGTTATAAAGAATTCAACTTTTTACGCAAAAAGATTAAGAAATATTTTATGTAAACATAACTTCGTGATGATGAAAAAAAAAAAAAAAAATAATAATAATAAATAACAAGAAAAAGGCGTTGGTGAAGTCGTTATTGACAACGCTCATTGACATCAGAAAAGGTCAGGAGGTTAAATTTCAATATTTCTGGGTCAAGTTTTTCTTTAATATGACCTTCAGTTAAACAATTGGAAAAAGTTATTATTTAAATGTAGGACTAGGTGAAAATTTCAAGATTAAATTAAAATATTAATCTTTATAACGAATGCTGGAATCAATAAAAATAAATAAATAAATAAAATGAATTTCGGTCCCTGATGAGGGCCATTAAATTAACACAAGTTACCCTCATCAAGAGATATATTAATTATTAAAGAAAATAAAGGAATCTGAGATATTAAAATTCATCAGACGATAAATAATTGAAAAGAAAAAGCTATTTTAAATGATAATGAACTCGTTAATTATGATAAGAAAATGCTTCAGTAATAAAGATGATCCGCCTTTCAAAAAAAAAAAAACTTGAAAATTAGTCATTTAGAAAGCGTGCTACATAAACTTTTTGAATATGTAGAACAATACAATGACATTGCTCCTGTTGATCTACTTATAATAAAAAACTGGCGAGCCGTGCGAAGGCTGATCGTCTATTAATGTTCATATAAAGAAAGTCATTGATTTCTTAATTTAAAACCGAACAATAACATTTATGTAGAATATAAGTTCTTGTGTCATTTATTTCCTTGAGAATTTTTCGAAATTCTTTGCTTATTATCAATACAAGAAATTGAGATACCATTAAATATAAAACACCATTTTTAATAAATGATTTGTTACTTAAAATGGACAAAGTGAATGCAAAAGTTACTTTCTAAATCACTAACAGTAACTTAATTAATTAATGACGTGAATATTCTATAAATAATGAATTTTCATATATAAATAATTTTCTAAAAATCAAATTAAATTTTTTATTATGAAATTCATAATTGAACTTATTTCATATTATTTTTAAATAACTGATGAAAATATTTCAGTTTCTTCATTTCTATAGCATAGAAAAGTTTGAGTTTGAAATTTTATACTATGAAATTT